AGGACTTTAAAAGCAAATACATAAAATTGTATGGATATAATAACTGTAATTAATTTTTAAATCTCAGATTTTTAAACAAATCAAAACTTCATAACAATGACATAGGAATTATTCTGATAAATGGTTAGGCCAGTTACCAAAAGGTAAAAGAAAGGACATGTAGGTATTACTGTTCTCCATGGGGAATCCATTTATTTAATCTGCAAATCAAAACTAAGCAAAAGAGTGTTTGAGTTAACATAGGAGGAATGTTTCCTGGGTCATAAGTGAAAATTTTCAGATTCATAGAACAATTTAAAACCAAGAGCACAGAATGTTATGTTGGAACAAAACATTTCCTTTAGACCTTTAGGATAAAACATTTTTAGCATCAGACCACAACAACAGTTAGAACCTAAGGAAGAAAGGAAAAAAATTACAGAAACTAAAAATGAGTTGAAGATGATAGTTATTATTTCAGGCCTTTTTAAAGGCAAGAGAAATCTGAAAACAGCAAGACATAATAAAAGTTAAACATTTCTTTAAAAAATATAATATCTTGTAATTTTTTGACGATAGGTTGCAACTGTGAGAGCAGAGCACCACATATAGAATTAGAGAAAATAACAAGATTGATTAATACTTCCATATATAATTCCACTGTGTGTTATGTTAATACTGAGAGCCCAGTGATTGGTTGACACATAGTAAGAGTTCAACAAACTTACGTTACTACCTAATCACAATTACCCTTATGATAACACAGGATTTTTTTTTAATTTGAAAGTTCAGAAAAGATTATAAATAACAGCTCCTGACTAGAGATGCACCAAAAAAGAGAAATTGATTGACCATTTGAGACAGCAATCAACAATAAAGAGACTAAAAAAAAGAGTGAAACAAGGGTTTTGAAGGAAAGGAGGCAGAATATTTCTGAATGCATTCTTTAAGTGTCTTTTATTTTCTTACCAAATATCAGTGCCTTGATCTCAGATCCAGAAAAAGCAGATTCAGTTTTGCTCAGGAACCCAACTATACTTTGCTAAATGTCAATGGAATGTTATTCAATGCACAGTCAAAAAGGCAACTTAACTTGACTGTGAGTATCAGTCTCTCCAGAACCTGGAGCTGACACTGGATGTCTTAGATGGTGCCAAGTCAAGGATTTACTGCAGGAACCAGGTAGGAAGCCTGTAACATGTTTTTGTTTCTGTTTTGCTTTTCAGCCCAAGTGATTTTCAAGTCAATTCTGGGTAAATCAAATTTTAAAAAGAGAAGGAAAATTCCCTTACACTATTAAGTAATGGTAATCAACCAGACAAATAACTAGCTAAAAGATTGACACTCCCAATTGTGTGGTCAATCAATTTTGGAAGTTATGTTTTATTTGTTAAGCCTTCCTTGGGTCAGTTTTACACGTTATGTCTGTAAACTAGAGTTGTACATTTTATTAAAACAAATTATCAAGCCCACACATTTTCCTTTAATTTCCATAAAACTCTAGGATAGTCTGTGAGGTTATCTTTAGGCTAAAGTGACTTGATCATATTTTAAAATTTGTTTTCAATAAACGTGTATTTTTGCACTGAACCTCAGCTCGATTTTTACATAACAGTCTATTGCATATGATTTACATGTTAATTATTATGTTATTATTCACTTTGCTATAATTAAAGTTAGCATTTTATTATAAAACACTATTACCTAAGTTTGATAGTATGACAGTAAATATTCCCTGAAGCTAATAACTTATATAATTTGCATTTTTTATATATATTGAAATAAAAATGTGTTTCTGTGTATTTTCTCCAAGTATGAGAATGGCAAGAAGTTTAGAATGTTTCATATTTTTGTTTTATTTTAACTTCTTAGTTTTAAGTTAAAGTTCACTCCGGTTTTATCATTATTGAACATTTTCATTAACAGCTGCTTTATCTTTACAAAAATTAGTTTGGGTCTTGTATATTTGAAGTAGCATTTTCTATATCAAAACCACCTTTATCATCTTATGATTTGTGCAGGCTCTGAATAATCCAACTAGCTCTGAGTAGTCTTCTTGTAATAGAAATAGAACTTTTCAAGTCCTAGAGGGAAGTCTGTCCGAGAAAAAATCTCTTGACTTCTGTAAAATTCAGTTCATGGTATAAAGGTTTTGATGAGATAATTTCTTGTCTTGTTTTATTTTAAAATTTAGATTCTTTAGTTTAATTAGATCCCATTTGTCAATTCTGAGAGTTAAAATTTCAATGTCAAAAAACCTGTGTCTAAATCCCAAATATATTATGATTAACTCTTTTAGGTGGACAATTAACCTTCCTGAGGTTAGATTTCTCATCTATGAAACAAGATATTGATGGTAGCAGCCGTGTGTCTGGAGTGGCACTGCCATCACACCAACTGCAGCAGGCAGGCATGGGGAGTGGCAACAGGAGTGGCTGCAGGAGCAGCAGTGGTGACAGTGAGACCCCTGTGCCCTGCATCCCCAAGGCAGGTGACTTCACCACCCCTAATCTCGCATGGTTGGGCAGGACCCAATCCCGGGCCCAGAGCCTCTGCCACTCTGAACCCTGGCCTGGCAGCACACCTCTCACCTGTTGTGTGCTGTGGGGTAAACATGGAGAGGAGGTGGGCATTCCCCAAAGCCTGGCTCTAAGAGCCAGTGCATTGCTCTTGGTAGGAAAGCCATGTGGTTGGACATGGAGAAGCAGGCAGACAGGACCTCAGTGAGGACCTGGAGCCCCCACCTTCAGCTAGCGGGAGGCACACCTGGGGCTGTGCACTCCATAGAGCTGGCAGGGGCCAGGGACAAGTGAGAGCCCTGTCCCTTTTAAGTTGGCAGGGTGGGAGCTCCCCAGGTGCAGTGGCGGCCTATGTGCCACCACTGTGGACCCAGGTATCTCTGCAGTCTCAGGGACCGAGGGAGGCCCCCTGCCCTACAGAGGCTCAGAGGTATCTGCTTTTACTGCCTGGCTTCTCCCTGCTGCTGGCGTCTGCTCTGATCCCAGAGCAAGTATGGGGCTGGGTGCTGTCACAGCCAGGCTGGCTGTGTGCATGTTTGGGGCAGTGTTGTCACACCAGCCCCCTGCCTCCTTAGCCTACTCCAGACTTTGGGCACCAATAGGCATGGGAGGGAGGCTGAGGTGGGAAGGACTGAGTACAGCCTGATGCTGGACTGCAGGCACCCTGGGTGAACAGCCTGGGTGCCATGAAGAGTGGCAGGAGGCAAACTCCTGCACAGAAGTGGGTGGGTCCTCAGTGAAGCCCTACCTTTAACCCAAGGAGGGCCTGAAGCCTTGGGGCAAGGTGGCCAGTCCCCTGGACTGGAATGGCAAAGTGTAGTGCTTTACCTGGTCCCACACATGGCCTCTCATGGACCACTCAGGACACTCTTCCTCCCTCTGAGGCCCATAAAGCCCTGGACTCAGCCCGACTTGAAGAAAAGGCAGAGAGACAATAGGGAGATGACTGGCCAACCAGCTGCAGAGGGGAGCTGCCCACCCCAGGTTCTCCTGTCTGCTGATAGCTGAGAAGACAACAGTACAACTAACTTCAGAGAGGAGCTACCCTCTCTGGTGAAAACTGAACATTTGTCAGGTAATCTGCCATCCCATAGTTGACCACTTGTCGGGAAACCTTGGCTATGGAGAGGAGCTGTCCACTGTGGGTCTCCTGTGACTGTTCTATTGCTCAGTAAAGCTCCTCTTTGTCTTGCTCAACCCCCACTTGTCTGTGTACCTCATTCTTCCTGGATGTTAGACAAGGACTCAGGACCTGTTGAATGGCAAGGCTAAGAGGGCTGTAACACAAACAAGGATGAAATATCTCCCTTGCTTGCTACATTGCAGGATAACATTGGAAACCAAAAACCAATCAATTTTTTTCCACAAAATGCTGCAGAAGTTCAGTCAAAATTTCAATCAACAGAAAGCATACAGGAATTGGTGAAAACATGGAGAGTGAAAGCTAAATAATATTCCATAATAAGAGTAAACTAATAATGCCTAAAACTGATAAAATTAGCAAGTGGCAATATTAGCATAGTACTTAAAGATATAGAATTAAATTCAAAGAGAATAAACTAAAAGATTTAAAAGTGGTTGTGTATAATGCAAAAGAAATTGGGTAGAAAGTGAATACAGTTTTTACATAAAACGATATATAGAACTATTTAATTCTTTAAATCATATGTATGTTTAACTTAAAATAAAACTCAGTTAAAAAAAAAAAAAAGGTGACAGTTACCAAAACGATTTGGAAGGATGAGGGGGAAATTTAGGGTGGAGGAATCCAAATGGGAAAGAAGAGGAAGAAAAAAAAAGGAAAGAAAGAGGAAGAAAAAGGGAAGAAGGAAAAAGACTAGGGCTATTATCTAGACAACTAATGTAATATCCTGCACCAAAGTTTGACCAACCAGCGTCCCGAGGTGGGAGCAGGGGATGAAAAACCAAACTTTTAAAGTTCTTGACCAGTTCTAGAAGTTATTTCAAATCTTTCTTTAACATGAAGAAATCAACAGTCAAAATGAGGAAGGTGAATTTCAGGATTAAGGAATGTTCACAGAAAATCCTGAAACAATACTTTATAATGTATTTTTATCAAAAACCTATTTGGCTTATGTTTATTTGAATTCATGGCCTCAACTTTCTGCTTAATTTTACCACCAGAATTCTGGCTGCAGTGACATGAATATGCTAATTAATATTTTTCTTTTTCGCCTGTTTTGGGATTTATAGAGAAGAAAGCCCCAAACAACTCTCTCATATCTATCTAAACCTCTGAAAGATCTGCAGGGGTGGTCCCTGAGGCTAGCACACATCTGTATTGGTGGGGCCACTGATTTACTCATTGTCATTCACAAAGCATTTTGATGAGGGAAGGGGATATGTTGAAGGTGTGAAGTCAGCAAGGACTGTGGCAGATCTGTCAGAGAAAACAGTACAGTAACTCAATGGCAAGAAGAGATGAAGGAGTGCATCAGTCCATTTTCACATTTCTGATAAAGACATACATGAGACTGTGCAATTTACAAAAGAAAGAGGTTTAATAGATTTACACTTCCATGTGGCTGGGGAAGCCTCACAATCATGGTGGTAGGAAAGGAGTAGCAAGTCACACCTTACATGGATTGCTGCAGGCCAAAAGAGAGATTGTGCAGGAAAATTCATGTATTTAAAACCAACAGATCTTATGGACTTATTCGCTATCATAAGAACAATGCAGTAAAGATCTGCCCCCATAATTCAATTGCCTTCCACCAGGTTCCTTCCATAACATATGGGAATTGTGGGAGTTACAATTCAAGATGAGATTTGGCTGGGAACACAGCCAAATCATTCTGCCCCTGGGCCCTCCCAAACTTCATGTCTTCACATTTCCAAACCAATCATGCCTTCCCAACAGTCCCCTAAACTCTTAATTCAGCATTAGCTCAAAAATCCACAGTCCAGTTCTTATCTGAGATAAGGCAAGACCCTTCTGCCTATGAGCCTGTAAAATTAAAAGCAAATTAGTTACTTCCTAGATATAATGGGGGTACAAGTATTGGATAAAACAGCCATTCCAAATGGGAGAAATTGGCCGAAACCAAGTGGCTACATGGCCCATGCACGTCTGAAATCCAGTGGGACAGTCAAATCTTAAAGCTCCAAAATGATCTCCTTTGACTCCATGTCTGACATCCAGGTCACACTGATGCAAGAGGTGGGTTCCCATGTTCTTGGGCAGCTCTGTCTTGTCTTTGCAGGGTATAGCCTACCTCCAAGCTGATTTCATGGGCTGATGTTGAGTGTATGTGGCTTTTCTAGGTGCACAGTGTAAGCTGTAGGTGTTTCTACCATTTTGCAGGCTGGATGGTGGTGTTCGTCTTCTCACAGTTCCAGTAGGCAGAACCCCAGCAGGGACTCTGTGTTGGGGCTCTGACCTCGCATTTCCCTTCTGCACTGCCCTAGCAGAGGTTATCCATGAAAACCCTGCTCATGTAGCAAAATTCTGCCTGGACATCCAGGCATTTCTAAGTGTCTTCTGAAATCTAGGTGGAAGTTCCCAAACTTCAATTCTTGACTTCTGTGCACCCACAGGCTCAACACCACATGGAAGCTGCCAAGGCTTGGGGCTTGCATTCTCTGAAGCCACAGCCTGAGCTTTTGGCCCCTTTTAGTCATAGCTTGCTCAGCTTGGATGTAGGGCACCAAATCCCTAGACTGCACACAGCACAGGGACCCTGGGCCTTACCCACGAAGCCATATTTTTCTCCTAGGCCTCCAGGCATGGGAGGGGCTGCCATGAAAGCCTCTGACATGCCCTGGAGACATTTTCCCTGTTGTCTTAGGGATTAATATTTGGCTCCTTGTTACTTATGCAAATTGTTGCAGCTGGCTTGAATTTCTACTCAGAAAATGGGATTTTCTTTTCTATTGAGTTGTCAGGCTACAAATTTCTGAACTTTTATGCTGTTTCTCCTTTAAAAACAGAATGCCTTTAACAGCACCCATGTCACGTCTTGAATGCTTTGTTGCTTAGAAATTTATTCTGCCAGGTACCCTAAGTCATCTCTCTCAAGTCCAAAGTTTTACAAATCTCTAGGACAGGGGCAAAATGCTCCCAGTCTCTTTGTTAAAACATAACAAGAATCACATTTGCTCCAGTTCCCAACAAGTTCCTCATCTCCATCTAAGACCACTTTAGCCAGGGCTTTGTTGTCTATATTGCTATCAGAAATTTGGGCAAAGCCATTCCGCAAGTCTCTAGGAAGTTCCAAATTTTCCTACATTTTCTTGTCTTCTTCTGAGCCCTCCAAATTGTTCCAACCCCTGCCTGTTTCCCAGTTCCAAATTTGCTCCACAGTTTTGGGTATCTACAGCAGGATCCCACTCTACTGTACCAATTTATCGTATTAGTCCATTTTTACACTGCTGATAAAAACATACCTGAGATTGGGCAATTTATGAAAGAAAGACATTTAATGGACTGACAGTTCCACATGGCTGGAAGGCTTCACAATCCTGGCAGAAGGCAAGGAGGAACAAATCATTCCTTACATGGATAACAGTAGGCAAAAAGAACCTATAGAGGGAAACTCCCATTTTTTAAAACCGTCAGATCTCATAAACTCATCCACTACAGAAAGACCCACTCCCATAATTCAGTCACTTCCCACTGGGTTCTTCCCATGACACATGTGACTTGTGGAAGTTACAATTCAAGAGGAGATTTGGGCAGGGACAGAGCCAAACCATATCAGGGAGAGACTCATTTTATGGTCTGACACCCTAACAGGAAGAATCTAGCTGTGCTCCTGAAAAAAAATCCAAATGTACAGAATGTCAAACCAATCATACGCTTTTTCTTTACTTGAAACAGCCCTGCGTTTGAGTTTTCCTGTGGTATTATCCAAAAAGAGTGAGGTCCTAGGCTCAGCTTAACACTTGCCAACCTTCCTTCAACACAGGGTTCCTGCTCATTGTATGAGATCTGCAGGGTGCAGTACCCACATCTGTGTTTACTGTGGCAATGCCCATTTTTCACATTTTAAGCCCAGTGTTTGGCCAGGCCCAGAAAACTTTGGAGGATTGTGGAGATTCTGCTATGTGAATAGGTTTGAGAGCAGTGGAAGAAGCAGGGGACGGCTATTCTAACATATTCTCTGAAAAAGGAAATCAGTATGCTTTCCGTGTTCTTTTCCTTACCACTGCTTTTTCATTGGTATGCAGGAGGCTAACTCTTCCTTCTTAAAACACCAATTTTTAATTGATGGCTTTTACCTCATATTTTTAGATGTAGACAGTCTGTTTAACTGTATAGTTTGGCCTTGATGGTTCTTCCTCTTCCGGCATTCCCTCCTTATTTCACAGAGGTGGAAGAGATAGTCACACTACAATGAAGGGTATTTCATCAACTGCAAGTGAGAGTTTGAGAAGCTGACAGTTGAGAAGCCATCCTGTGTTTCCATGGAAACTATTTGCAGTTATAAGAACAACTCTTAGTGCCAGATTTTAATCTCAAATGCACAAAGTACAGAACTGCACTTTCTAAATGTGGGAAGAGGAATGGGGTAATGGGAAAAATGCTAATTTGAAGCCATAGAGTAATTGGTCTTTGCAAATTTAAAGCCTAGTTCTAAAGTTATGTGTACTGTTTTATGTAAATAGTTTACAAATAGTGTGTGCAAGTTTGATTTTATCAGATGTCTAGGCATATTGAAAGTGAAATATGGCTGGCGCCATTGTTCAGGCCTGTAATGCCAGCACTTTGCTAGGCCAAGGTAAGCAGGTCACCTGAGGTCAGGAGTTCAGGACCAGCCTGACCAACATGGTGAAACCCCATCTCTACCAAAAATACAAAAAAGCTTAGTTGGGCGTAGTGGCACATGCCTGTAATCCCAACTACTTGGGAGGCTGAGGCAGGAGAATCGCTTGAACCTAGGAGGCGGAGGTTGCAGTGAGCAGATCCAGCCACTGCCCTCCAGCATGGGTGAAACAGTGAGACTTCCACTCAAAAAGAAAAAAAAAAAAAAAAAGAAAAAGAAATATGTTTCAATAAGAGACTCTCATCTTCATTTTTAGAGGGAACTCAAGAAAGCCACTTAAAGGTAAAAGCATTACAAAGGGCAATTTTGTGTTTATATTATGCACTGGGGAGCTGTGAAAGCATGGCATAGACTCATCTTTGTGGAAGCATAGCACCATTTCTGGGCACTAAGTGACAAACTGGTTGTGTGTTAAAAGCTTTCTATGAGGATACTAGGTATGTGTGAAGTATGTCAAACAAACGAAGACTCAGAAAAAGTGAGTAGGATTCTTTTGTAACATATAAATAATGGGAAATCAAATTAATGAAACAGAAAACCTTTGTGATATTCTCAAAAACATTCTTGGGTAATTTGGCACATTTAAAGAGTAAGTTAGAAGGAGGTAGGAGATATTGCCAGCTAGGGCAAAACAAAGTTCTTTAAACTGTGTTCAAAAATCATTTTAATGTTTTCTTGTCATCTGGAAACGATCATAACTAATTAGAGAATTACTGACTAGGCAATAAATTTTACAAAGTTTCCTATCGAATTATTTTTCCTCAGTGAAAGGCCTAGAGCATAAAAAGATCAACTGATGAGATTTTTTTTTCTTTTTCCTTCCAATCTCAATTTTTTTTCTAATTTTAGTTTTTCTCAGTAAATACTTTTTTTTTCCAACTTTTTGGTTCAGAGGGTACATATGCAAGTTTATTACATGGGTGGATTGTGTGTTGTGGGTGCTCAGTGTACAGATTATTTTGTCACCCAAGTAGTGAACACAGTGTCCCTTAGGTAGTTTTTCAATCCTTCCCTCCTTCCATCCTGCACCCTCAAGTAGACCTCAGTGTCTGTTGTTTCCTTTTTTGTGTCCATGTGAACTCAATATTTACCTCCCACTTTTAAGTGAGAACATGTGGTATATGGACTACATTAGTTTGTTAGTTTGCTTAGGATAATGGCCTCCAACTACATTCACCTTGCTGCAAAGGACATGATCCAATTTTTGTTATAACTGCATAGTATTCCATGGTATACATAAATTATATTTTCTTTATCTAGTCCACTGTTCATGGCCATCTAGGTTGATTTCATTTCCTTGTTATTGTGAATGCACATACACATGCATATGTCTTTATGGTAGAATGATTTATATTTCTTGGGGCATATGCCCAGTAATGGGATTGCTGGGTCAAATGATAGTTCTAAGTTCTTTGAGAAATCTCCAGACTACTTTCTACAATGGCTGAATTAATTTACATTCCCACTAGCAGTGTGTAAGTGTTCCCTTTACTCTGCAACCTCACCAGCAGCTGTTATTTTTTTACTTTAAAACAGTAGCTCTTCTGACTGGTGTTAAAGTGTATCTCATTGTGGTTTGGCATTGCAATTCTCTAACTATTAGTGATGTGGAGTACTTTTTCATATGTTTGATGGGACATATGTATGTCTTCTTTTGAGAAGTGCCTATTAATGTCTTTTGCCCATTTTGAATGGGATTTTTTTGCATGTTTGGTTGTTTATGTTCCTTATAGATTCTGGCTATTAGACCTTCATCAGATGCGTAGTTTGGAAATATTTTCTCCCATTCTGTAGGTTGTGTGTGTGTGTGTGTGTGTGAGTGTGCATGCACTGGGCAGATATCT